GGGGGGATTCGCCCGTGAGGGAGAGCTGGGCATAGGGGTGAATGCGTACGCCTGAGTGACGGCCTTGAGGAGGGCGCCCCGGTTGGCGGCTGGCGGGGAGCAGGGAGGTGCGCAAGGGAGGTCATAGGTCAGAGACGAAGAGGAGGCAAGAAGGCCCCCAGATGTACACAGGGGAGGGAGCGAGGATCACATACTGGCAGTGGAGCGGTAAAGGCTCAGCATGGTGGAAATGAGAAGGAAGTTCCGCAGATCTGAGGGGTATGGTTATGGGGTCAGTGGCCAGGCGCGTGCGCGAACATGAGCGGGGTGGGGGATGGAGGGGGGGGGGGAGGGAGTGCAGCGGTCAGGGGAGGACACTGTCGCCAGGGGGCTTTAGTGTGCACGCGCGCGCGTGCGCGTGCGCGTATATGTGTATATGTGTCTAGCCCACGCCGTCGTAGTCCAGGGACGTGAGACACACACACACACACACACACACACGCACGCACGCCGGTGGGTGTCTGGGGCAAACCCCGCGCGGGCGTCGGGCGGCGCGGGCCATCCACGTCAGATCTGGCGTCTCTGCCCTGTCGGCAAGGGGCGGAGGAAAGCAGAGGGGGCGCAGAATCACGGCCCGGCGGGTGGAGCGGCCGCGCGCGAAATGCCAGGGCGAGAGGGGCGGGGAGAGGGCGGATGTGTGCGAGATGAGGAGAGGCAGGAATGGGAAAGGGGGAGGAGGGGGGGGGGGAATGAACCTCGGGGAGGGGAGGCGGGAATCCGGTCTGCTTGGAGTCAGGGCCTCACCCGAGACAGGGGCGTGTGTTTTCTGTGGACGTGACGAACGGAGGGGGGGGGGGAGGCTACCGTGCGGGGAGGGCCACCCGGCCGGGCCCCGTCGGTTGTTGCCAAGCCCCTCTCGCACAACACCCGTTTACGCGGGGCGCGCACACGCCGTCGCTGGACTTGCAGCCCCCCCCCACCCTCTCCAGCACGGGTCCCAGCGCGCGCGCGCGCGCGCGCCGGCCTCGCAGGGTCAGAGACCAGCAGCGTGCGGGGCGTGCCTGTCCCTCTGACTGGTGGGCTGGGCGTCGTTCCCCTCGCGCTCGCGCTCGCGCTTGCGCCCGCCCTGTCCGTGTGCGCGCGTGCGCGGAGGATGCGCGCCTGCCTCCGCCGCCACCGGGCGCTGGGACGTGGATGGGGCCTCTTTTGGGGGCATCCGTGTGCAACAGCCCCGGCCCCGGGCAGCCCCTTCTCTCCCTGGCCGGGGACATTTAGAATTACACCAGAGGTAGACCCAAGCGTCATGACGGCCCGGACGGGCTCGGGAGCTGCGCGCCCTACGCGCCTCACCCGCTCCGCAAGAGGGCAGGTGTTGCCGCTGACATTCGGCGTGTGCGCGTACGCAGCCCTCCCCTCGCCCCGCCCCCCTCTCCCCCCCCCCATCTGTCCCCGCCCCCCGGTTCCCTTCCCCAGTCTGCCGACGGAGACACCGCCCCCGCTCGTAAGGCGAGGGGGCGGCGGCCGGGGCACACTGGGAGGTACATCGGCCAGTTCTTGTCGGCCGAGGGTATTCTCGCCGAGACCACAGAACACAACACCATTCCCCGGAAGACATACGCACGCCCGGGACCTTCACATGATCCTTCATGGGTTGGTAGAAGCCCATATGCCACCGCTCCCGCCCCCGGCCTCTGGGCCGCCGGGCATTTTCTCTCGCCCTTGCCCCCCAGCCGGGGCCAGACAGAGGAACGCCGCCCCGGCCTCCGGGTCCCTGCAGGCAAGCATCTTGTTGTGGAAAAGCCCTCTTCCCCCCCCCCCCCCACCCCTGAGCGGCCTCGGAACTCGCCCGGCCCCTCCCACACAGGGGGCGCGGGTGTCAGGCACTCTGGCGACCGATGGCCAACTCGATCGGAGCCCGGGGTGGGGGAGGGGACTCTCTTTCTGTCTGTCTGTCTGTCTGTCTCTCCCCCCCCCCCTCCGAGGCTTGGCCACCCTCGCGATCTCACACTTGTCTGCTGGCGGGCCCCGTCCCCGCCTGGACCCCCGGCGCTCGGCCTCCTCCTCCTCCTGCCCCTCCCCATCGCCCTCTCATCTGCTGCCCCTTGCCCCCCGTATCTCTCCTCCTCCACGCGCGCCCCTCCCCCCTCGTCCCGCCACCGCCTCTTGTTTTCCGCTTCTGCCCCCTCCCCCCCGCCTGCCATGTCGGCTGCGACACACCAGGCCGGCGGTCCCGCCCTGCAGGACCCGGCCGAGCTGTTGCGCTTCGCACGAAAGTCCGTTGCCTGCCTGACGCCGCCAACAGCAGCGGCGGCGGCCGCCGCCTTCGGATCGGCGGCTGCCACGCCCAACTTATCGGCCGAGGGAGCCAGCACCCACAGCCTGAGTTTGACGCTCTCCGGGGTGGCTGTTCTCCGTTTGTCCATGGGCCAAGTGCTCGCGGTGCGAGCGTCCCCCCTTCGCCTCTCGGCCTCCCCTTGCCCGCTGTGAGTGGGCCGCTTGGACCCGCGCGCCTGACCTGCTCTTCTCTGTTCCCTCCCCTCCCTTTCCCGGATCCCCCCTCCCAGTGTGATGGGGAGCTCGCTGACGTCAACCTCCTCCAGGCGGTGGTGCCCCACCTTCTGGCCCTGGCGCGGGATGTGTCTTGCGCGCTTGACCGTGCGCCGGGCAACCCGGCCGACGCTCTTACACCCCCCTCGCCCGGTGGTGGTGGTGGTGGTGGCGGTGCTGCAGTGGCCCCTCCCACCAGCGACGGTTTCCGCGGCTTTTCCGGTACCAGCTCCTCCCGCGTGTCCCCATCCCTCGCCCCGTCTCACAGGTCATTGACCATAAGTCCCCTCATCTGGACAGTCACATTCGGCCCATCACGCATCGCGGTCTCGCCACTGGACCCATCACAACCGGATACCGTGGCAGTGGCGCTCTTCAGGAAGGTGTAGCCAGGCGTATGCGTGCCTCTCTCTTTCTCGTCTGCTGGCCTTTCCCCAGTCTGCGCCCTTCTTCCTCTCCTCCCTCTTTTCTCTTCAAGTTCATAATAAAGATAAGTTTTTCTTTTCAACAAAGCTCCCGGCGGCCCTGCTTTTTTCTCTTGGCCTCCCCTTCCCCCCCCACATCTCTCTACCCTCCTCCGGGGCAAACACACACCAGCCCATAAATGTCATTCACATGTATTTGCCTCCCATGCGAGACGAGCTTCCCGACGTGGGGGCGTCACCGTGCGGCCTACGGCTGTCCCGCCGGGCCCGGCCGCGCGGAGTCCCCCCCCTGGGGATCGTGCTGCTGCGGGGGCATCGCTGGGGGCGAGCCACCATGCGGCATGTGCGGCGGCATATGGTGGGGACCCGGCGCCGGTGGCGACATGTGGTGCGGGGGCGACATGAAGTTGACCGGCGGCCCAAGAGGCAGGGCCAGAGGCGGCATCATGGGCATGCCATGCATGCCGAGCATGGGATGCTGCATTGGCGCGCCCATCGGCGGCAGTCCCTGGTGCGACGCGAGGTAATGAGGGTGCTGCATGGGAAGCTGCATGTAGGGCATTTGCGGCGGCGGCGGCTGCTGCGGCTGCTGCTGCTGCTGCTGCTGCGACTGCGGCTGCTTCACCGGGGGCCCCTGATGCCGAGGCTGCTTGGAGGGGGGAGCACCACGGGGACCACGGGAGCCCCCGCGGCCTGTGGCGGCATCCGGCCGGCCGGCATCCGAGGTAGGCTTGCGCTTGCGGGCCTGGCGCGCGGCCTGCTCCTCTTCATCATCGGAGAAGGCCGCTTGCGAGGGGTCGATCTCCTCATCGTGGATGTTGGAGGCGTCGGAGCCACGCTCCAGGCGCGAGGTCATCATCTCATGCAGCCGCTCGGCCGAGATGGTGTTGCAGTCCGGCGTTTGGGCCAGACGCACCTCGGCATTGACGTCCAGCAGCGGCCGGTGGTGCTCGACCGCCTGACGCAGCTGGGCATCCGTGCCAAAGCGCAGCAGATAGAATGGCCGGAAGACCGGGCCCATGGTCTCGAACACGGAGCCCAGGCTGATGTCCGGACCGCCGTCCGCCGGGCGCACGCACAAAATCGACCCGTCGGCCACGATGGGAGGGCCGCCGGCCGTGGTGTCCTGCGCGGCCTGCACCACCAGCATGCCATCTGGCGCGTGGCTGAACACCTTGCCCAGCGGGATGGAGCTCACACCCTCCGGCAGAGGAGACAGCAGCTGGTCCTTGTCCAGGGGAAGGGTCTGAATTGGTCGGTGTTTCCGCCCCATCCCCGGGCCAGGGCACATTGGAGGTCAGTGGAATGCCCCAGAAATGCCGAGTGCGACCCGACAGGGCATGCCCGGGAGTGGGCCAAAGTAAATGGCGACAACAGGGGGCAGGGTGGTCAGGTACGGACCCGGACGTCCAGCTCGTTGCGCGTGGCCACGCGGTGCCCAATGGCAGCCGAGCCACCGCCAATCTCGTCATCCTCCTCGGCGCCACTGTCAAAGGCATACTCCAGCTCAAGGTCCGACCCGGAGTCGGAGCTGGAGTCAGAGCTGGCCCCGACATCGGAGTCGCTGCCCAGGCCGCTGTTTGCCCATGCCAGAGTGTTAAAGGGGCAGTTCCTCAAAAGAAGCAAGAAGTGGAATATGTCCAGTGCTAGCAACGGCAGCAGCAGCAGCAGAAATCAAGACGCAGGGGAATGGAGAGAATGGCAGACGCACGCATCGGCGACCGGCATTCGCATAAAAGTGCTGGTCGAGCCTCCAGGCGGGGCAGGCTCGGACAAGGCAGGGGGCGCCGGCGAGGTGTCATCGGCGGCGGCGGCGGCGGCGGCGGCGGCGGCGGTGACAGACTCAGAGGGAGCCGGAGCCGGAGCCTCGACCGTGGCTGGCTCCCCGGTGCCCGAGATGAGGGAATTCGCGGCTGTCGACGTCTCGTGCTGGGCAATCACCGGGGACGCAGTCTCCTCCTCGGCATTCCCAGCTGCAGTGAGGTCAGCATTTGGCTCGGGAGCAGATTCAGTGGCAGGCTCGGGAGCGGTTCCAGGCACAGACTGGGAGAGCAGCTCAGAGGTTGGCTCAGCAGTGGGCTCGACGGCAGTCTCGGCAACAGGCTCGACGGCAGGCTCGACGGCAGGCTCGACGGCAGGCTCGACGGCAGGCTCGACGGCAGGCTCGACAGTATGTTCGGCAACCGGCTCAGCAACCGGCTCAGCAACCGGCTCAGCAACCGGCTCGGCAGCCGACGCAGCGGAGTCCCCTGTAGGATTACCAGCAGAGACACTCAAAGCGGCAGCATGAGCAGAGTCCGCCTGGTCGCTGGAAGGTGACATTTGGAGATTTATGTTGGTCATAATCTTGCGCCACGAGGAAAAAGAGAGGCAGGGCCGAGGGGGGGGGGGAGGAGAAGGAGAAACAGGAAGAGAAGAGAGATCGGGGGGTGCGCCTCCCCGGGCCTGAGGGGCCAAGTGCACAATCTCTCTGCCCCTTAAAGCCCGAGCAGCCTGTGTGGGCTCATGCGCTCAGGGCTTCTCCGATCAGGCGCACGGCGGACCACGGCCGGGCCTGGAGCCGGAGAGGCGGCAGGCGAGCCTGGCTCCGGTCGTGTGTGGCTTTCTGCGTGCATACAGGGCAGGGACAGGGAATCTGCGCCTCGTGTCACCCCCGCCAGCCGGCGATCTCACCCGTGGTCGCCGTAGATCGGCCCAGGCAAGCCACCAGCACGACCAGAGAGCCCCGGCCGCGTGTGTTTCCTCCTTCCGGCTGGGAGCCAGCGCGTCCGGTCCGAATGCCAACCCACGGGGATGTCACGAGCACATTCCAGAGGGCACGGGATCGGTGTCACATTTATCCCGGGTGAGGTGCCCCTCGCCAATCGCGGGGCAAACATTGTCGTCCTCTCGTCGGCGTGTGGGTATCTCTCACCTCTTGCCCCTCCCCCCCCCCCCCCATCCACACTCTCAGGGGCAATTGTTTGTGCCGTCTAGTCTCGGGGGCTGGGGTGGCAATCCCGGGCGGCGAGTGCGCGCGCGCGCGCCGCGACCACCAGTGCTGTACTGCCGGACGTTTGGTCCTCCTTCCCCGTCTAGACACCAGCGCCGATCCTCGGACCCCCCGCGTCGGGGCTTACGTGCCAGTGGTCGAGACGGGCCACACTCGGGCCCCGGCGGGTATTTCCCGTCCCGTTGGCTCGGGGAGTCAGACCTGGTGCGCGAGGACGCGCACACTTTTTCGATTCGCACATTCTGGGATGTTCCAAGCGGTAGATGTGAACATCATCGTCGGCGGGGGCCGATCAACTACCACATCGTGTGGCGTTGCCCCTGTTGCCTGGGACGACCGCGGTCGGGGGGGGGGGGGGGGTGACGTTTCTCTTGGTGGCCCCGCGGCCCGTGGTCCCATTCGCGGCCAGATGCCTCGCCCCCTCTCTCCGAAAGGCAAAGGCACACCAGGGGGGCCCCATCCCTTGCTGACCTCATCGCCGCCGGCCGGATCTTGCCCCGGGGCAATGGGCCCGGTGTCCGGGCGTGCTACTTGAAGGACCGCACCGCTGGCGTGCCGATTCCCAGGCCGAGCCAGATCCCCCCCTCCATCATTTCACCCCGACCCATCTTCCTTGCTGTTCCCTCTGCCCATCTCTTTCCCTCCCTCCCCTCCCACCAGGCCCAACACACCATGTCCAACGGTTCGTCACGACCCGCGCCCCCCCGAAAGCAATGCCGCTTCCCCGCCTCTTACCCCTTCCCCCCTGCCGTCCCCCTCTCGCCCGTGGCCGGCACACAGACCAGACCCCCGCGGAGAAGCGCGCCGCCGAGCGCCTCGAGCGCCACAAGGAGATGACCTCCAAGTCTGAGGCGCTGGTGGCCCTGCTGAAGCAGGGCGCCGAATCGGCGGCTGCCCTTCGCGCCGTGACTCAGGCCATCCAGGCGTTTGACCTGAAGACCGAGTTTGATCGGCAGACGGCCGTCGACAACCACATCCTGGAGCCGCTGCTCGGGCAGATCGCGGCCGGCGCCGCGGCCCTGAAGGCCGCCGTCAGCGAGGCCGCCTCGAAGACGCCCCTCGAGGCCCAGGAGGCCGTCGATCCGGCCACCGTGGCCGATGGGGCCGACATCTCCGCGATCCTGCTCGCTGGGTATCTGGACGTGCTGCTGGGCTTCCTGTCCGATCTCCTGCGCTCCGGTGCGTCCAAGGTGACACGCGCATGCACATGCACGCGGCCCCACATGTGTGCTAACTCGCTGGATCCCGGTGCGCCCCCCCC